TATATTACATTTCTGCCAATAGAACCTCCTAATGTTACACACTGGACCTTTAAAAATAATTTATATTGTAGTATTTTTTAACAGGTACCTGGGGGAAGATGACAGACATAATAAACTCTATGTAGGATTTTATAAAACTGCAGTGACTTTTAAATTACCATATACTACTTACTTGTTTGGAGTAACGTTACTGTAATTCCACTACTTTTGGCCATAACGGATACTGATTAACAATTATATAACGCAATCAGTATTACTGAAACTGCAGAAGATGGCAGAAAAACAGCGCATCTGAGCCTATCCCTTGATTTTCTGGTTTATGATCTAACGTCACCTGACCTCACGGTGACCAAGGGTCAGGCAATAGATGAGAGCATGCATACCTAACTTTCGTGTCTTCAGATCAACCACAACCCCTTATGGGTGAAAACAGGCTGTGTAGAAGTGCTGCCCCGAGCAGTGTCACATTTTGTATATCAAACAGTTGGGGAAAAAAACTGTTTAGTGAAGGACAGTAAAAGAAGATATCTGTGGTTTCAATATGAAAGGGGTAAACTGTGGGACCATACCTCAGTATGTGTCCGTCTGTGAGTAAATTACATGTGTGCTGATTTTGCTTGTAGATCGAAGCCGATAAGAAAAGAATCTTAGTGATGGTGTAAATAAAGTTTTTACTGTAAAAAATATGGCCCTACCATAAAACAGCTGCTTTTAGAATGGAGTTTGGTTCCACAGTGTGGAGCAGAGGGTATTTTAACCTTAACAATCCACATAATCTGAGCTAACCTACCTTCTAATAATGAACCTTGTAAACAACATAAAGTAATATATGAAGTGGACATAGGAGGGAATGCTAGTTGTTGCTGGTCAGGAGTATTAATAACTGAATACATTTGTCTTGTCCCACAGCAACACGAAAGTAGTATCTGTGTGCATTAATAATAAATCAGGCATTTAAAAGTAACACAAAAGTTACTTTCCCTAGAAAACTAATTACTTTCATATGCAGTAATTGGTAATACAATTACTTTTGTAAGTAACTGTAACTAATTACTCATTTTCAGTAACTTACCAACACTGGAGGAGTACAGATGATAACAAAATCATATATGATATATGATATAACTACATAGTTCCTAAATAACTATATTAGTATTTTGACTTTAGAAAAGAGCTCCAGGGAGAGGTCCGTAATCTAAAGCGTTGTAATTTCACTTTTGGCTGTAATACATTGTGAAACTTATGAAAATTGTATTAATTTGCACCCACAAATGGGAAATTACATTTCAATTTGATTGAAATTTGGTCTTTTTAAAATTGGTCTTGGTGATTTCCATATGCCAGAGCAAACTTACTAATATAACTGTTATAACTGAGTGAATTGAAAATGAACTGACCCAACACAGACACAACAACAGACAAAGCATTTACCTGTTTTACACAACATTTAAACTCCTCCCACTTTACACACAAAAACCTCAATGTGCCCCAGACTTCGTGGACACTGTGCCCAGACCCTGCCCTCAGAGGGCCTGTCCTCTGGTTCCTGGTCTTCTCTCAACAGCAGCTGTTTCCTGTGCAAAGCACACCGCTGTGTTTGACCGTGTCAGTGAAGTCCTGCTGAAGGTTGTACCCACCAAAAAGCTCTGTTGGTCCGTGAGTGACTGCGTGCTGCTGTGCTACTGTAGCCAGTGCTCGTGAGAAATATGTTCAATAATCTTTATAATCTCATGCTTCAGATGAGAACAAGCGATCATAGTAGGTCATCTTATAGAGATGGCTGAAACGCAATGCACTACACAGACATTAAATCTTAGAACCAGATACAGGTAATCAGAAACAGTATCTGTAAGTAGCATTAAGTTATTTTGACCAGTGGAGGGCAGAAAGAACAAACTCCCTGCAACAGACCCTTGATATACCATTAGGCCTAACCCTAACACTGTCTACACAGGATGCCTAGTGTGAGCAGCAGCAGCTTCAGTCCTCCTTTAAGGCACAATATTTAATATAGGCTGCACTCAGTGCCCAACACACAGTCACTGTGGTTACATGTGTAAAATGGAAGAAAAATAGAGTTAACAGTTAAGAATTGGCTGCAGTTTGGCATTGTGGGGTTACTGGGTCAAGGCGGGGACGACCACACCTAGAGCCGAAGGTTCTGTCCTTGGGGGTTTCTGCCTCTTAACAGGCAGTTTTTCCTTGCCCCCGTCGCCAAGTGCTTGCTCATGGTGGTACTGTTTGGGTCTCTGTTGAATTGTTAAAGTAGTTCAGGTCGTAGGACCTGGTCATTTTGACGAAAGTGCCTCCTGAGATACACTTCTGTTATGAATTGGCGCTATACATAAAAATTGAATTGAATTGATTGAAGTTGGAATACGCAACGTAAATGGATCAAATGAATGGTGACGCCGCGGTTTACAGTGTAACCGGTAACACGACAAGAAGGTGTGGGGTTTGGACAGTAGAGCAGGCTGGGTGAAAGGAGGGATCTGATTGACAAGGAGCCATCCCGTTTTCAAACGTCTTTCAAGTGCCCCTTTTGGAACTATAGCCAACTCTTTCTTTCCTGTACAACTATGTGCTAGGCTCATCCATGTTGAAAAGACAGCAACATTTTGAAGATGACAAAAAGACAAAAGAGACATATATATATAGTATATATACATCTTCTTCATACAATATGTAAATTCTGCTGCTAGGGGGTTTCTCACATTAAAGAAATAACAAAAGATAAAGTTTGATGACATGGTGAAGTAGTTTGGGATCATGGAAGTTGTTATCTTCACCACCATTGCTATCATTGTAGTCCGCTTCTCCTGGTTAGGATTTCTTCTGTGTTCATCGTTCGGGAGGTTTCTCCTGGGAGCCTCATTATCCTCAGAGGTCTCCTTCTCTCAAACAAGACTCACTGATTAAAAACAGTAAAAACACTGACTAAAGCAGTTTCACCATAAAAATCATTGTTTCTCCGATGCTGTTTACAGACAAAGGACATGTTGCTAACATTAGTTATCTGATGTAACTACCCAGCTAACAAATGTAGATTAGTTAGCTAGTTAACTAGTGTTTTGCTCTGTAGTCAAACACTAGCTAACTAGCTTGTTAATGATGTATTTTTATACATATTATATGGATTAGCTAGTTAGTTAGCTTGCGCTTTTATAACAACAGCTAGCTAGTGCCTATGTATGTAAGATGTGAAGATGTATGTATGTGGCTTTTATCTGTTAAACATCTTCAATATGTATTTGTCTTTTTAACATAGACTCAACTGTCATTGGAGCACAGAGAAAAAAGGGGCTGAGCTCAGGATGGATCAGTTCAATCCAAAGTCTGACTGAAACTAAGACAAAGGGCTCTAATTTCATGAACCTAGCAGTGCGGTGTGACTTGCAGTCACGTGCTCCCTGTCCAGTGCGTTGGAGGTAGGAGCAGAAAGGATATATTATCATACATTACATGTTAGAGGCTGTGCCAATCACGGGCAGTCACGTTATACTACAGGGCTCTTTCCTTCATGACCAGATTTTTAAGTTGAATTCACTTTTCCGGACATTTTCAAGCAGGCAGGCAGTTGTTTGTAACAGTTGTGTCGAGAAACTGTATAATTGATCATAACAAGACAAAAGATGTGCACATACAGGTTTTTGAACTGTCTGGTATTTGTTGCACAAAATATAACCAGCAGGGTAATAGGGTAATGCTACATGGAGGAAAAGACAGAAGCATTGCCCCTTTTTGCTCTGCTCCAATAACAGTTGAGCAAGCCTTAGTCAGAACTTCAAGTCAACTTCCTCCTTTCCTATATGTGTGTGTGTATATATATATATATATATACAGTCTTTTAGCTTAAGTTAGCTAGCTAATGTTAGCAAAATGCTAGATAACTAGCTAGCTAATCTACATCAATCGTTAACTAGCTAGTTACATCTGAAAGGTAATGTTGGCAAAACACTAGTTAATTGTCTAGCTATACTACATATAACGGAAGTTAGCTAATGCTTTGCTAACACTGGCTAGCTAACTTAAGCTGTGATTCTACATATATATATATATATATATATATATATATATAACTTTTGTCTTTTAACCATCTACAAAATGCGGTTGTGTTATCAACACAGATTAGCCTAGCACATAGCATAAGTGCAGGAAATGATAAAGTTGACTGAGGTCATTACCAAGGCTTTCCTTAACTGTTGTTTGAGCACAGAGCAAAAAAGAGCGGAAGTAAGAAAGGCTCAGCTAGCATTATAAGATACAAGAGCATTGCAGCATTGATGTTGTATGAGGAGTGGCTTCATGATTGGACCACCCCATTGGCCGTTAAGGACAGAAGGAATGATAACTAGAAACTCTCCTTTAATATAAAAAAAAAAACACTTTACCGAGCCACTCTAACTCTATTCATATCATCCCATATCATCATGTTTACATGAACTGAATTGTTGTTCCTGTCAGCAGTAAAGGACAATACTGACGTTCAGGTGGCCAAATATTTGTGATTTGCCAACAGACCAGTTGTTCTTGTAGCTATTACAGTTCTTACTCATTGCAAGACAAGATGAGGGCATGATGCTGACTGCCATCTCAGTCCAACATTGGACACACAGTGCTCCAACACTAAAATATCATACTACAATTTACTGCACTTTTTACTGATGCAACTTAAATGATCACTCATCTCTCAGATCAGAGTCAAACAGTCAGATTAAAATTGTGCAATACAGCAACACCTAGTTTCTAGTATTTCGTAGTGTTTTGGAATACTGGCTGGGTATCCATAAAGGATCATCTGAGAATATATTTTTCACATTCATTAAGTGTACTTTAAGCATTTTCAATTTCTTTAAGGAATTAAAGCCACACTTAAGGCTCAAACAAAGCATGATACGGTTATGTGCCATGTACATAGATTATGGGCTTTCATTTGTTTTGATTTAACTGAGACATGGAGACACGAGCATGCAGACCAACATTTAGATCTTGCTGATTCTACAATTAAATACCTTCATTGACAAACTGAGAAACATTCAAACCTGCCATGAATGAAGTTTTTATATTTTGACCTGTATGTTCATTGTTTTGTTGTAATACATATTTACAGTTCTGTTTTTCACATCTCTTAAGGAGGCATCAACACATCTGTCTTTTGGAGGTAGTGCGTCTGGACACAGAAATATGGAAAGAATAGAGGTCTTGGCTTTCCACAGTGAGGTTCAGTTCAGTCAGCTCTGCCTCCAAGAATTCTGTGATAGTCTAATTCTTCCCCTCTGGCCACCAACTGCACTCACAGTCTTAATTTTGTTCTAATGGACAGCTACTGGGACAACAGTGGATCTCCAAAGCTTGACTGGTTGTTTAACTACAAAACTACTGCACCATTGTGCAGTAGCACTTTTAGGGGAAACATAATGCCTATATACCAATAATATGTAAATTAGTTAGCTAAGTTTTTCTAACTTTACCTTTAAGATGTAACTAGCTAGCTAATCTAAACAGTAAAAAAGGCTGGATGTTTAGTTAAATAGTAAAATGTCAATTCTGGGATACTATTATGAGATGGAAAGAGAAGCCACATAGCACTCTTTGCTGCACTGTATGATAGTCTCATTACTTTTTGCATAGCCTTTCCAAATATACATATAATGAGTGGGATAACGGTTCTCCCTAAACATAAATGAATGATGCATAATGTTGCTTATGACTTTAAATCATATAGACTGGGTTGCAGTAGGATCTTCACTGCTGTATCAAAGCAACATATATGCATGCTCTAGAGATCCCTTGTTAGGTCAGAGTAGTGTGCCTTACGAGAACAGAGGTAGTGCTGTGATGTGTATTGCCTTGAACTGTGGCTGGAGGTCACTCTCTTCACTACCTTAAATACGTATTAAGCAATTTATTCTGGATATTAAAAGGGTTTCCATCTAGAATTCACCAATCCTAATTAGATACTGTGATTAGACATGACAATATACTGTTTACATTTTGTGTTGAAATGATTTTGTAAAGTGCCATTTTTTTCATCTTTTTTTTTCTTTCATTTTTTTTGAATGATATTCCAATGTTACGTTGCAGCTGGTCAGTGTAATCAACAGTGCAATGAATCATTAAAACCTTTTTGGAGGAAGGTCCACTTCCTTAAATGAGTCCCACTTTGTACACAAGGACACTGTCACTCTGTCGTCACGCTTATCCTTTGTACCCTGGTTGTACTGTTCCTTCCTGGATGATGTGGTGCTTTACCTTCACAGATCTTTGATTTTTCTTTAAAATAAAGGGGACCTACACCTCCCTTCTGGTCTCCATTCATTCATTCAGTTTGATCTCATCAGCTCGAAGTTGGCTTCATGAAACACTTTAACTCAGGTTCAGTGTGTCACAGCAGGCCTGTTCATGAGCCTGGTTTATGACAGTAGTTTTCAAACCAAAACCAACAGGGGTCCTTGAGTAGGTTGTAGGGGGTCCTCAGCAAAAGGAGGATTCAAATATTTTAACTTTTAGCAATTTTTTTGGGAGGAGAAATAACAAGGGAAGAAATAGGGTTGACTGTTGTGATTGATAATTTATAGTGAACCTACTTTGATTATTGATTGACTATGAAGACTGTTGTCTTCAAACCTATTTTTTTTTTTTTTAATACTTAGGACAAAGTCCTGGAGGTCTATAATATGAAAATGAAACCGCTTGTTTTGAGACACTCAAGATATCAGATACTCAATATAAACCTACCTTGCCTCTGCATTGATTTTTAAACCAGAAAACACCTGCCAATCAACAAGTTGGGCAATAACTGTGATTACAAACTTCGCAATGCATTATTTATTCAATGCATACTATTCATTTTACTACAAATCACATAATCATTAATTGATTTGTTTTTTGTAATTTATATGGAAATAAAGGTTTGGTGTAGGGCTAACACTTATAAACTGAACACACTATAGGGGCGGCTGTGTGCTCAGAAGGTAGAACAACTTGTCCACTCATGCTATGCATGGGTTTATGGATGTATGTGAATGGGTGAATAAGGCATGTAGTGCTTTGAGTGGTAAGAAGACTAGAAAGGTGCTATACAAGTACAGTTTAATAGTTTAAACCTGTTCAATCTGATCTATGAGGAGACTGCACAGGGCCCAAAGAAAAACAGGTTCCCAAAATATTCAGATGCCATTTGCACCGTTGCAGTTCAGTAATGATCTTGGGACTGGAAAATAAATTCAAAATAGAAAGATTTTTTGGGGGAAAATTTGCTTACAACAGTATTCTCCCCTGTCCTGCAGCACTGTGGATTTTTAATCATTTAGATTTAATCTTTTTATTTTATTTTTAAATTGTATTGTTATATTTCAAATCTAAATAATGCATTTGGTGTCTGATTTAGTTTCCATCTCTGTCAGAATATTCTCTGGAACCTCATTGTCAAAATCAATCCAGCACATTTTTGATTTTGTACTTTGTTTAATAATAAGACACGTGGCTGATACAGTGTCATTTTTAGAAAAAACATTGTATCTCACCAAAAGAAGCTCCAAATTCCCCTGGATATAACCCTTAATAATCACATCCAGTATGAGCTGCTGATTCACCATGGCATATTTGTTGTTTGTTGTTCACTGGTTCCTTTTTACGTAACATATCAAAAGATATTTCAAATCTCAAAACTCTTGGTAGTTAAACTAATTGTTGATTTATTAATTAATGTGGATTAGGTTTTGCTTTGTATTTTACTTAATTTACTTTATCAACTCACTTGCACTGAGACAGTAAACTGTATGTAAGGAGCTGTGTTTCTTCTGTCTTTCCATGTAGCCGTTATTCTTCCCGTAGCAGTACTAGCGGCAATGACTTAATGTTGCGCAGCAAGAACACGTGAGCGGAATATAAATAAATATCAGAAATAAATGAGCCCTCTTCATTCTAAAATACAGGTCCAGTGTATTAAGCATATATTTTTAAAAATATGGCTAAATGTCAGAAACTGATTCAGCATCCTCAATAACCCTCAAAACCACTTTCCAAATCAACCAAGCAGTTGCTAAAATATTGTTCATAGGTGATTATGATTAATAATGATAATTATGCTAATTGTCCAACATATGCAGTTTCTAAATGCTGAGATGCATACTGTATATTTCTAATACATCTTTTATTTCAAAATCTTCAGACATTTTTCCAAATACATGTCTTTTTTCATTGAACTTAAGCCTATCACTCAGTCTTAAATGTGGCCAGGCATTTTTTAGGGTGGCAGGTGCCACCCCATCCCACCCCTCTGGGTCTGCCACTGCCACTGCTCTGCCTGTGAGACAGCTGCTGACTGTTCTCTGACTGTAACCACGTGCATGTAAGCCTCTTGAAATGGGATGGACTGTGGTTTATTTGCGCCTTCACAGCAAGGCACGCCGTTTGGTGTGCGGGGGTATAAATCCATGGCGGGATTCTGGGAAATATTTCATAAATTTAACAGCCTACTAATTCAAGGTTTTAACTAACAAGACAGTCTCTCTGCAACCTAACTAGAGTGTGCTACAAGAGTCAAGCTTTTGCGAGGAGAAGAGGACAAAAACAGGTAGATCACTATCCTTATCATTATAATTGTTATTGTAATCATTAATTTACTAGATTAATACATCATTAGCTTCTTTTTAGCCTCTTTAAGTACTGAAATGTGTGTTTTACTATGAGCCTATCACTTGGCTCTGCCTAGCAGCAACTTCTGGAAATATACTTTCTACCAAAAGTAAAAAAATAATTAATCAGAGACAACATTTTTAGTAGAAAACGTTTTAAGCACAGGACTTTTCATGGAGATTTGTAGATGCTGGTATTGCTACTTCTACTGAGGAGAAAGATTTAAATTTTAGGGATTTTATGCCCAGTTTTGTGATTCATCATATATATTTTATTAGTGCTAAAAAGTAATCAAAGGGATGCCATTCTGAGCCCAAGATGGCATCCTCTCATGTTTTATTTCCTCTGACCAACAGAACAAAGCGCAAATACATTTAGTTTACTGAGATATAAACAGAGAAAAGGAGATTGCTGTTCGTTCTTGACAAGTGACTTAAACCAGTGGTTCTCAAACTAGCTGACACAAACAGCTGCCTCAAGTGGTAGAATGACAAATATGAAATATTTTTAAGAGATTAAATACATTTATTTAAAAACATAACTACTGTTGAAATACTACAAAGTAACTTGAAGATCACTGAAAACTGATTTTAAAAAACTTCCTAAATTTTTTAGTTTCAATATCATCCTGTTACTTGGTCACGTTTGTGCATGTAGTGTGCACATACATCCATGATTAGTTAGGAGCTAGAATGCGATGGTTAGATAGTGAGTAAAAAATAAAATCACTATATAGCAAATGTGAAAAACAAACATATGAAGTACAGTATGATAAATCATTGTCATCACATGCATACTGTGACCCTTACAGGATAATTCAGTGACTTTTTCTATATTGTGAGGGCTCTGATCCGGAGTCAGCTTTGGTTTCTCCTACAGTTGTTTTAATCACACAGACTTTTGAGCTTGCAGCTCTTTCAGTCTCTTTGTTCGTCTACACAGCCTAGTCCAGTGTTTGCAAAGGACTGTTACCAAGCACAGTTCCATCCATCTATCACCTGTAGGTCTTAGGATTACAATGAACATTCAGTCTGCCATCAACAAAGAGGTCTTCATCCCTCGTAATGAGCGGATGCTGGTGGCAGTGGAGGTGCGGAGGAGGAAGAGGAAGAGGATGTCTTTCCTGCCTACTGGAGCCAAAGCAGACTACGCCACATTCATCTGTGTTTCAGGTTAAATCTGACTTTCTTTATTTGGTGAAGCACTCACATCCTGTCATTTACAGAGGAGGAGGTCCAACCCTCTGATCAGGGTTGGCCAGTTTCATCTGGTAAGAAAGGGCTTAGGTGGCCGGAGGTTCACTGATATGTGTAATATGAGTGTTATAAAATATAGTTCAAATTAGGCATGGGACAATATGAAAATCTGATGTCACAATTATCTTGGCCAACATAATTGCTATACGTGATATAATCAACTTTCCTTTGGAAATCTATACTATTTCCACACATCTGGTTTAACTTTTTTCGGGGGGGATACAACAGCCTTCAGCCTTAACAGGCTTAGGATTTGGGAATGACTGGAAAGATGTCAAAGATGTCACCATAAAGGAAATTCATCATAATACATTTGAGGGTTTCCCGAGTGCAAATAGAAATGCATTGTTAGTTTGCTATAGTAATTTTTTATGAATGATTTGTTTACCTAGTAACCAACACAAGGCCACATCAGCTCCTCATTACAAAGGTGAAGCGGTTCGGTGGCTCCTCTTCCTTCACCAGGAGGTCCCAGTGGACAGTGGAGCAGCTCAGACAGGTCAATGGTATCAATCCAAACAAGGTCAGCAAACTTTGGATGTTCTTTTTTTTACCCATAGTGGTCTATCAACAGCTCTATGATAATAGTAAGTCATATACAGGGTGACTATTTGCTGTCATGGCTCCACAATGGTAGAACGACCTCCCCTTTGACATCAGGACAGCAGAAACTCTGCACATCTATCGCAGATTGCAGTTTTCAGTCAAAATTGTATGGGACCTTCTCTTATTGTTTTTAAATGTAGCACTTGAAACAGTCCATTTTATCTGAGGTAGTTGATGATTTTGACATTGATGAAGTCGCTTTGGATAAAAGTGTCAGCTAAGCAAATGTAAAAGTTTGTAACTTTGTTCTCCTCTGCTCCGCTCTTGAAGGACTCCCCAGAGTTTGACCTAGTGTTTGACAACACTGTGGACCAGTGGGTGGCCAGCTCATCAGCAGAGAAGTGTATCTTTGTCCAGATCCTGTATCACGCCTGCCAGACCTACTGGGAGGGAAAAGCAGGGAGTCTGGGAAAGCCTGGGAAGCTGGACAAGGTGGGCCGCCAGGGGGGAGCAATTCCTCACAAAGTTGGACCTGGCTCCAGTGACTCCCTGCCAGGATCTGCATCCAGAACCCTGCAGGCCCGGAGAAAGAGCTACGTTCCTCCAAAAAAGGCAGAGTTCATCAACTGCCAGTCAAAACTCACAGGAGGTAGTGACACATCATTACTGAGGTTTGTGATACTCTGGAAATCATTGAGTTCATGTGAATAAACCCAGTTGTAATGTGTTGTCCTTTCAGATGCCTGCACAATGAATCTGATCATCTACCGCTGCAAAGCCTTCTTGAACCGTATGAAGAATATGATGGTCGCAAACAAAAGATCAGCAGTTCGAGGTAAGGCAGGGATTAAATCATCTCAATTATCACTTATGAGCCACTTAAAGTGTACGGGACATTTCTGGGCATCAACCTTTGTCAGGGTGCAGGGTCTGAGGTCAGGACTCTATAAAAACATAACGAGCCGATCACTGTCTCTACACACGTGGACAAAATTGTT